CAATTGCTATTAGCTTTAATAAGAATAGCTAATCATAATTTCCACTAATTGCTGTTTATCTTTCTTTATCTTGCCTGCGTGAAAGCATTATCAACTTTCGAATGTGTGTTGCAGAATTTGATAAGTCCATAAAGAACTACACTAAGTTTGATGATTGGTATCTGTGGGTGCAGATGCATAAGGGAACAGTATCAATGCCTGTGTTTCAGTCTCTGGAGGCGTTCTGGCCTGGACTGCAGGTGAGGAAGCAGATCTGTCACCAAACTCTAGTCCAGTGTGTCACAAGACAAAGGGAAAGCTCCAGTTGGACTAGCTTTAAGTCTTTGTTATCTATATACTGTATGCATCTGAGATGTACATGTTTATCAGAGTTTGATAGGTGATATTTCCAGTGCCACAAAGACCTTCCATAACTACTACAGTGTGTGGCGTCAGTTTGGAGGACTCCCGGAGTTCTACAGCATTCCTCAAGGTTACACCGTGGACAAACGAGAGGGATACCCTCTGCGCCCAGGTATCTATAGAACACTTTGATTTAGAGCCTTAGAACACTTTTGGGTCATTCCTGAAGATTTCTAAAAACACATAGTTTTTAGTATGGGAACCAAGCTTTGAAAATGTAAAGACATAATACATATCATTTCATTTTTTTTTTTTTTTTGTAAGAGATATAACCATTTAAACAGGTGCATCTCAAAAAATTAGAATATCATGGAAAAGTTCTTTATTTTTTGTGATTTAATTCAAAAAAGCAAACTTTCTTATATTCTAGATTCATTGCACACAAACTGAAATATTTCAAGAGTTATAGAGTTTCTCTCTCTCTCTCTCTCTCTATATATATATATATATATATATATATATATATATATATATGAATTATATTGATGAACATGAATATTCATGAATAAACGCACTATAAACAGACAACAAATGTGACGTAATAAATAACCATATCAAATAAACTACTAAAAAAAAAGGTTGGAAAAATGTTAAGTCCACATTTTGCTCTGCTGCCACCTTTTAATAAATTACTGCAGCATGAAAATTTGATCATCTTTTTCATCAAAGTGAAAGTTTATGCAAGTAAAATAAATATATTTAGTGAAATCTCTCTAAAATAATGCATGTTGTTTTGATCTTGTTTGGTTTGAGAGAATAGAGTGGTTTCATAAATTTGGATTTTTTCTTTGTGCCAAATGAAAGAGATCATGTTGCTAGCTCTCATATTATACGTTCATATACATTTTATATAACAATATATTTAAATAAAAATTCTCAAATAATAATACATATGTTTTCTTGCATCACACTTGTTTTGCTGTAGTTCATTTTACACTTCAAAAATGTATTTTTAGTGTTTTTTTTAATTCAAAAAAGTAAGTGTAGTAATGCAAAACTTTTTCTCTCAATGAGAAGTAATTCATCAGAAACAATGTGTTTTTGTTGAAAAATATTATGACTATTTTATAAGCTTATGTTCTGTCAAAACTGACCCCAAAAATATTTTTTATGCATTATAAGGGTTAATATTGCTTTAGGGCTGGCATACACTACACAACATTTGCCCTGAATTACAGCCTGGATGAGCCGATGCAAGTTGCTGAAAATCAGAACCAGTCTGCAGATTTGAGTTGACAGATTTACCAAAAAATCTTGTAGAGTGCAATGGGCACAGATTTTTTTAACGTCAAAGAGTATAAACATCAGATTATGAGTTGTTTATGTATGATGCCCTGTCATTCCTTCATAACCATTTACAAAGTTGTCAAATATATGTTGCTTACTGTTTAAAAATCTGTTCTGATTTTCTGAGTTTTCCAGCTTTTAGCAAGCACCACTGTTACTATTGCTCATTCCATTTAGAACACAACCCTTTAAAACACCACAGCAACCCAAACAGCCACACTCTAGCAATGCTCTAACAACCCCTCATAACACCTTAGCAAGCACTTGGCGAATAATGGGCATGTGAGCAGCAAATTTCGAATGGGCACCCATCACATTTTTTTTCAGATACTGTAAAATCTGTTTTGTTTTGGTTTTTGATTTATATGAATGAAACTGAAGTAACCACTCGGTGTGTGTTTGTGTTGTACAGAGTTGATCGAGAGCGCCATGTATCTGTATAAGGCCACCGGTGACCCTACATTCATGCAGCTTGGCCGGGATGCAGTTGAGTCGATTGACAAAATCAGCCGGGTGAACTGTGGCTTTGCCACTGTAAGTGTAACACTGTAACTAAAAGAGTTACATTTCAAAACGAGTCTCAAAACAATACTGAGGCTAAAACCAGCACAGCCCCGCCTAAACATTGTAATATTTGTTGTTTTGATCTTGTTTTGGTATAAAAAAAGAATAGGTTTCATAAATTTGGAATGTTTTTGTGCAGTCATGAGTATTAAGGTCAATTCATATTTCCTGATTTCAGTGAAGTTAAAGGAATAGTTCACCTAAAATTGAAAATTTACTGAAAATCTACTCTCTCCCAGGCCATCCAAGATATAGATGAGTTTGTTTCTTCATCTGAACAAATTTGGAGAAATGTAACATTACATCAGTTGCTCACCAATGGATCCTCTGCAGTGAATGGGTGCCGTCAGAATGAGAGTCCGAACAGCTGATAAAAACATCACAATAATCCACAAGTAATCCACACCACTCCAGTCCATCAATTAACGGCTTGTGAAGTGAAAAGCTGCATGTTTGTGATATACAAATTCATCATTAAGACTTTTGTTTTAGACTGAAGTGGTGTGGATTATGGTGATGTTTTTATCAGCTGTTTGGACTCTCATTCTGACGGCACCCATTCACTGCAGAGGATCCACTGGTGAACAAGTGATATAATGCTGCATTTCTCCAAATCCTAATTTTTTAATGAATAAAAAAGGAAAGAAATAACATGGTAACATGCAAAACTTTGAAATGTTTGCACATTCAGTCAACAATGAAAAAGTTATTTCTCAGAATCAATGCGGCGACTTTATAAGCTTGAGACACTGCGAGTTACAGGGTTACGTTTCAAAATGCATCTGAAAACTTGAGTGATATTAAGGCTGAAACCAGCACAGTCCCTAAACATGCTCATTTTTTTGTTTCTGCCAAAGGTGAAGGATGTAAGGGACCACAAGTTGGACAACCGCATGGAGTCCTTCTTCTTGGCCGAGACCATTAAATACCTCTACCTCCTCTTCGATCCTGAAAACTTCCTTCATAACTCGGGCACAGAGTTCGAGCTGGGCGGCCTGCAGGGCGACTGCATACTCAGCGCGGGTGGCTACGTGTTTAACACAGAGGCTCATCCGCTCGACCCCGCCGCGCTCCACTGCTGCAGCCGATACCAGAGCGAGCGCAGGGAACTACAGGACATACTCATCAGCCTCTCAGAACCACTCAGGCCTGCGACGGACCAATCAGAGGAGACGCCAGGCGCCGGCGGCTCACGAGAGAGCATTGCACTGAAGCCGGGAGAGAGGAGGAAAGCTCGGGTGCTGTCCTGCCCCACACAGCCCTTCAGTGCCAAACTGGCTGTCATGGGTCAAGTCTTCTCTGACAACTCTTGAACGGACTTTCTCGCTGTCAACGGTGTGTAAAGATGTAGATTATGTTTGTAATTTAACTTCGGAGAGATTAAATGTTTTCTAAATATGTGTGGATTTTTTTCCACTCTTTTTATTAAAAACGTTTTAGATGACAAAAGTGTTGGCGTTCAGTACGATCATTTTATCAAAGCGTTTTCATTTGGTACTCCTCAAAAAAATGAATTTAAATGAGGTAAGTGTTTTACAAACACTGCACATATCCCCTCATTCATTCGGTGAAACAAGGGAATAAAGAATAAAAACGATCCGCTTAATAGGCCACACAAGACCAAACAGCGCTGCTTAACTGAGATTTTAATACTAATTCTACTGTAATGCTAATCAGTCTAAAAAGCGTATTTTCTCTTCACGTGAGAAAGCAAATGAGAGCCAGAGAGCAAAAGTTTGTAGGAACGTGCCTCAAACTCTTGCCCATTTTCTATGCCAGCATAAAGTGAGAATGGCACGACTGTAGCTCCAGACAAAGCCTTTATTCTTTTGGGCTGGGATTAGCGGATTCAGAGCTGCTTTAACTTCCTTTGAGGCAAATAAACGAATTGACCTGGGTTATTAGCAATTTCACAGTACACATTATCTTAGCAGCTCTAATGTCTCAGGTATTTCCAGATGATTATGGTTACGGGTTATTCAATAGCATGTTCTGTTCACCATGATTGGTGTTACAGGTCAAATGATGCAGCTTTGTGCTGCAGGAAGTCTCTTTTGCTCACCAAGGCTGTATTTATTTTGTCTGTAAAAACAGAAATATTGTGTAATATTTTTACAATTTAAAATCACTGTTTTCTATTTGAATATATTGTAAAATGTAATTTATTCCTGTGATGCAAAGCTGAATTTTCAGCATCATTACTTCAGTCTTCAGTGTCACACGATCCTTCAGAAATCAGTATAATATGCCGATTTGCTGCTCAAGAAATATTTATTATTAACATAGTTACATTTTTACACTTTTCATTGATACATTTTGATGAATAAAAAGTTTAAAAAGAACATTTACTTTAAATAGAATTTATCTGCAACATTATAAATGTACTTACTGTCACTTTTGATCAATTTAATGCATCCTTGCAGAATAAAAGTCTTTCAGTTTTTATTAAAAAATGTACTTTTGAAGTGTTTATGTCAATCATTTTTAATTCATTCTTATTTTACAGTACTTATACAGCGTTTATTGATCTAGGTTTGTTCATTTCTACATATTTCTAATATATATTTTAATAGTTGTATAACATTGCAAACAAACGTAAATTAACAATGACCAATAGTATATTTATAAATTAAATAAATACAATAAATAACTTTTTTTTATTTTCATATTTTCAAATTAAATAACATAATACAGTAACACTAACCTAGATTAATAAATGCTACATAAGATTGTTCATGCACTCATGTTAACTAATTGAACTGAAAAGTGTTACCTATATTCTTTGTTATTAAATTCAATGCATTTACAATCATTGTACATGATCAAAATAGCTATTCTGTGGCAAGTGTAGGCCTGTAGACTGGTGTGTTTTCCACAGGGAGATCTTGATCTCAAACTCCATCTCCTGCTGCTCACCTCCATCACACTCCTGGCTAGTTTTGCCGAAACCATGTGACCACGTAGGAGCCGATGTGATTGGAGAAACACCGGAGAACTTTCCGTTACACTTAAGAATGCCCTTCCTCTTCCTCCCGTTATCTGTCCCGATTCTTTCCACGTCCTTGCTAGTCGCTGCCGTACTGTTTCCAGCAGCCCCAGACATTTCTGTGTACTCAACCTGACTGTAGAGATTCTTCAGGATGCCCTTCGTGGGCTGGTTGGGGGAAGACGATTCAAGAGGCGACAGCAGAACAAAGCTGCTGTTTGAGGTCAATGTTCTTTCCTTATGTTTCTTTCTGGGTAGAGTGGAGGCGCACGGTTTAATCTCTTTAGCTTTGGGACAGTTTAGGTTTAGCCACCAGTGGTTAGCGATGTCTTCCACAGTGGCTCTGTCTTCTGTTTTCACCGTGAGCATCCATCCGATCAATGAACGGGCCTCTGTAGGAAGAATTGAAGGAATCATGGGAAATCCTCACTCATGATGTTACTTTGATGGGCAGATATATGAGAGTGTGTGAATCTCACCTGACAGGACATCAGGGGTTTTATATCGTCCGTGGCGGATCTGCTCTTTAAGGACGCTGTAAGTTGTGCTATCGAAAGGCATGGAGCCATAAACCAGAGCATATAACAGCACACCCAGAGACCAGCAGTCCACCTGGCATATAAAAGGAGCAGAAGAAGCATTGTTTAAGATGTATTTACCGTACAAACATTGGGATTTAAAGGGATAGTTCACCCAAAAATTCTGTCATCATTTACTCACCCCTCATGTCGTTCCAAACCTGTAGAAGATATTTTGAAGATTGCTGGTAATCAAACAGTTGGTGGTTGCCATTAACTTCCATAGTAGGAAACAAAAATACTATGGAAGTCAATGGCAACCACCAACTGTTTGATTACCAGCAATCTTCAAAATATCTTCTTTTGTGTTCAACATAAGAAAGCAACTCATACAGGTTTGGAACGACATGAGGGTGAGTAAATGATGACAGAATTTAATTTTTGAGTGAACTATCCCTTTAAATGATTAAAGGGTATTGTGAAAAATAAGACTTCCTAATTGTATTCAGTGTGCACTTGTAGTGTACTCTCAGTCAATTTACTTGCAGATAATATAATATTAATAACCTGTATAACTTTCTTTCTTTTGTGGAATGATATTTTGAAGAATATTAGTAACCAAAGGTTTTCGGTTCCCACTGACTTCCATAGTATTTTTGCTCATAATATGAAAGTCAATAGGACCCAAAACCCTTTGCCAACATTCTTCAAAATACCTTCTATGTTCCAAAGAATAAAAGAAAGTCATAAAGGTTTGGATCAACATGAGGGTGAATAAAAGATGACAGAATCTTCATTTTTGGGTGAACTGTCCCTTTAAATGTTTACTTTTTAATAATGTCAAATTAAAAGTTTTACTTTAAAGTACATTTTAAACCACATTTTAATCATCTTTTGTCATGCTTTAAGGAAGTAGACTTATTTTGACATGCTGACTAACATACTAAAGCACATGTAAAGTACTTGATTTTAATTATAACTGTCGTGTGTTATATGATACATGTAAAATGAATGTAAGTGTACTAAATTGCAACTTCATTACAAACATGTAATTACGAATATATCTAAATACATGACCTAGAATTTCGTTAGTTCATTCAGCAGTAACCTTTAACCATATTACAAAGACAATAGAAGTAATTATGAAATTACATATAAAGATGTACTTAAGCCCCACTTAAGTGGGTCAGAAAGCACTCAGCTAAATGCCTTTAATATACTTTTAAACTATAATACATTTGAATTGAATTGCAATTAACATGCAATCAAGAGTCAAAACATTACATTCAGCTCACACTTAAGTATATTACATTATTTGCACAACAAGTACTCTTTTTAAAAGCATGCTTAAGTGTACTTTCACGAAGATGAGCGATCAGAGTAACTGTTAAGGCAGGAGATCTCACCTCAGGTCCGTGGTAAGGAAGTCCATTGATAATCTCTGGAGATGCATACAGTGGGCTCCCGCAGAACGTGTCCAGACACTGGCCTCTCGTGTAGCGGTTGGACAAGCCAAAGTCAGCTAACTACAACAAACAGAGCATTTATAGATAAAGCAGTTCTGTATTAAAATGGGTGACCTACTTCAGTTTATTAAATGGAATCTATTTCTGAGTCATAGAGGGTGGACAAAAATAGCAGAACACCACAGGAAAGGAGGTTAATTTTGAAGTATAATTATAATTAGAAATGCAGCGGCAGAGATGAATCGTATTACAGCACCCATCAAACGTTTGGACACACTTGACTGAATTTATTCCTCTCATGAGCTCAATATGAGGGTTTATGCTGAATTGCTTGCAATTAGATTTGTAGACAAAAACAAATTGTGCATACATACAAAATAAAACTCTCATTCAGATTCTGCATGTATTTAAGAGACACATAAGTCATCCTTCATATTTCCTACATCCAGTTACCATATGAAGACAAAGGATGCCTTCAACCCTGTCTGTTACCAGCTATGAAGCATGGTGAGGTATACACAGCTATTTTGCTTGTCATCTGATCCAATGATTGCTTGTCTGAATGTTTTTGGAATGACCATGGAATGAGGCCGTTCTATTTTGCAAAATAATACAACATTGTTCCCTTATAATGTTCCCATATTCCAGAATGATGACGCCCCTAAACAAATTGAAGAGTGATTTCATAAACCCCAGGATGAAGTCAAATTCATTCCATGGTCATCAGATCTGCACATCCTTAAACCTTCACTGGTACGTTCTGGTTTTCAGAATGAGAAGTTGATTTATACTTTACCATCCCTCAAAAAAGTTTCCAAAAAAAGAGAAATAATAAGTTTGACAGATTCCAAAAAGATAATGATGCTGATTAAAGGGGTCATATGATGCTGCTAAAAAGAACATTATTTTAGGCTGATCCTACATTAGGCTTTTCACTTTAATTGTTTTAATTGTTTCGTGTTTCTGTGATCTTCTCCACTGTACTTATGATTTAAAAACTAATACTATGTGCAGTTAATTTGAATTGCTTTTTTCAAAGGATTCAAAACCATCAGTCTCTGTAATGATCCAATGGATGAGAAATGAAAATACATGAATAATTTGTCAGTTCTCTATCAGTCAGTTTGAGTATGAATTGTTTACCTTCACATTTAAGTCTTTGTCCAGAAGTATATTCTCCAGTTTGAGGTCACGATGAACCACACCATTCTGAGGAATATCAAGAGATTTTATATTTAGAACAAGAGACTCAATAAAAATAAAACATTCTATAGAATAAATACAAATAGACTATAGGTAGAAATACTGAATTATAATGCTATTTTTTAACTGCTGAAGTTTGTTTGCTGTATTTGTAGTGTTAAAGCCTGTTCACACCAAGAGCGATAACTATACAGATAATTGTATTAATGTTCACACCAACACACAATATTGTCCTGTTTATCATAATCAAGCGCTGCCGCTTTAAATACTCCATCTCTTTAAAGTTTGTGGATTCTGATTGGCTGTCAGTGATTTTAGTGTTCATCAGCTGGAAGGATTACTCTGAAAGTGATTCCAATTATATTATTATTGATTATCATTATACAGTAGTTGTCATTTGGACGTCACTATCCTCGTAGAATTAGGATGATTATTCAACTTTCATATTTATTGTTACAGTTATCATGCTTGGTGTGAACAGGCCTTTATTCAGGTTTGTAATATTACTCAGATTGTCAAACATTTCTCATAGACAGCACTGCTTTCTACGTGATGGATGCAATAATAAACAGAAAGGGGGTATTTAGGAGAAATGAAGGTGGGAATAAATAATACTAATAGCATATTTGTGACCCTGGACCTCAAAACCAGTCATAAGTAGCACAGGTTTGTAACAATAGCCAAAAATACATTGTATGGGTCAAAATTATCGATTTTTCTTTTATGCCAAAAATCATTAGGATATTAAGTAAAGATCATGTTCCATGAAGACATTTTGTACATTTCCAACTGTATAAATATATTAAAACTTAATTCTTGATTAGTAATATGCATTGCTAAGAACTTCATTTGGACAATTTTAAAGGCGATTTTCTCAATATTTTGATTTTTTTGCTCCCTCAGATTCCAGATTTTCAAAGAGTTGTATCTCAGCCAATTGACCCTTATGACTGGTTTTGTGGTCCATTTGTTAAAAGTAAATTAAAAACATTATATAAATAAATTTACAAATATAATTAGAATGGTGTATATTAAAAGATGTTACATTCAGGTACAATCAAGCTGGTAAAATGTTGACCAAGCAAAATAACATTTGAATCATTTAACAGCATTTTGTGGTTGAATGCCTTTTCAAGAAAAACGGCTCATACACAGAATGAATGGCATGAGATTTTAAAAAGATACTAGTGTTCATTTACTTTATGGCAGTACTGCACAGCAGAGGTGATCTGTCTGAAGAAGTGTCTGGCCTCCTCCTCTGACAGTCTCTGTTTGTCCTGAATGTAGTCATACAGCTCTCCTCCGCTCGCGTACTCCATCACCATCACAATCCTCTCTCTGCTCTCAAACACTGAAAACACAACACATTTCATTCACGGAAAGATCTATCTGGACACACACACACGGATGTTGTGAGACTGTTGATGTGATTTACCCTCATACAGACGGATGATATGTGGGTGCACTAGAGAGGCACTGATCTCGATTTCTCTCTGGATGTGAGCTCTATCCAGATCATCCCTCAATCTCTCCTTTCTAATAGATTTAATAGCCACCTGAAGCACACAAACAGACACATTATAAACAAACACACCACTGAACCAAATACGAATGCCTGCCTGTTAGTATATGGGTCAATGATGAATGAATTTACTCAATGCAATTAATACAGACTTGAATAAACCTTTTCTGCCATGCTCTGTTTTTTTCACACAATTCATATTGATAGTTTTTGTGTGGCTTGTAATCGGAAATGTTTACATGGCTTAACTGACCGATCTCATTATAAGGCTTTACAATGTTAACAGTCTTTTATTAATGTATATGTTTTTAAAATAAGCAGTTTTGTTCTAAACTTATTAGTCATTATTTTTTTGAAAAACTCGCGTCTGCCAAATCAGTCATTGTGGTGTAGCCAATATACAGGAAGGCATTATGTTTTTATATGTCACAAGAAAGCCCCAAAACAGTAGGTTTAAATCTATTTAGATTTGTTTAATAAAGGAATTAATAACATGGAATAACCTTAATAAGACTGAATATAAAAAAATATATTCGTGATTTGAGCGTTCGTGATATTTATTTTGTTTTTAACATGAAAAAAGGTGTTTTTGAAACTTTGAAAGTAACTTTTCAAATGAATGATTAATGAGAAAGTAAAGTATTTTAGCACTTTTTATTTGGCAGTTATACCGCTTTCAGATTTATTTATTTTTTTTTCAAAAATATATGAAACCAATACGAATACAAATTTCTGCATTTCTTACTACAGTTTTAAAATATTTCAACTTTTCATCATCTTGAACATTTTTCTGTCACTGACCTATAGCATATACTGTAGATAAACAGTATAAATAAGTACAGTAATCTAACAACAGTAAATAATTCAATTATAATCACTTTAAAAGGTTCAGAATTCCAGCATCCAACTAATATGAATATAATTCAGACTACAGAACAAATATTTTATCCCCATTTTTTAACTGTGCTATATAACAAAAGTGACTTGCGTTTATCTTTGACTTTTGCCACTAAGGTATTGCTTAGTATCTGGCACATATTGGGCTCTGTACGTGTTTTGTTGCATGCAGTGGGTTTGGACCAGCAAACACAAAGCTCCATTGTAACCCATTAGATTTTTACGATTCCAAAATTCCTTGAAATTCATTAACTGAAATCACGATGTGGCTTAAAGTTAAACCATGTCATTTCTTTGCTAATATCATCAGCAAACAGAATTTCCTGATATAAATAAAGTAAAGCTAAAGGGATATCGAAATTGAATCACCCCTAAAAACACCATCTAAAACCTGCAGTGCCATCTGGGAAGCTGCCAAGCAACTCTGACCCCAATCTGGAGATCTGGAGAGACGCCTCGCTCCCCTGTCACACATGCAGCGAGCGCCCGGCTCCCTCTGAATGCTCTTAGTGTTTGTCTGCAGGAATCCCAGCTATGCTTAAGGCTCCTGGATTCCGGAATACTTCACCTCTGAGTCCGGATGAGTGACTGAGTGAGAGAGAGGCTCAGCTGCTGCTCTAATCTGATTGGACACTGAGATTACTTCATTTTTTGCATGAATGCGATACGTTTTCAGGCTGTGAAAGAGTGCAGACAGCAGGCAGGCTTGGGGGAATGTCTCTTTTGGTTTTGTTAAATGACAGACTGAGCGATGAATGAGTGGTTAAGTATTTAATTAAGTGTGCTAACATGAGGTCTACATAATGTATATAGTACACTGATATCATTTATTATTAAGATTAAAATGGTTATTATTGCAATGATTCGCTTTTGAATGAACAGCTTTTAAATGATCCTGAGCTTTTTCACTATGAGAAATTTCCTCAAATGAAGACCTTCTAATAACAGTGAACTGATTTATAAATAAAAACCAGATGTAAAAATTACATTTATAAAGATAGATGGATAGATGGATGGATGGATGGATGGATGGATGGATAGATAGATAGATAGATAGATAGATAGATTGAATGCGATACGTTTTCAGGCTGTGAAAGAGTGCAGACAGCAGGCAGGCTTGGGGGAATGTCTCTTTTGTTTTTGTTAAATGACAGACTGAGCGATGAATGAGTGGTTAAGTATTTAATTAAGTGTGCTAACATGAGGTCTACATACAGTAGACACGCGTGTACACGCACAAAGCACCTGTTGGACGAGCCCAAAAATAATTAGCTGAGGTGAATTGCTAGGTAAAGACGTGCTGACTGACTGACATGCTGTCAGAGGTAAGAGAGAACATGCTGGATATTCTTCTCAAAAGAAATTAAGCCTTTGTACAGTTTTGATTAAATAAATTGAAATTTAAGGGGGAAAAAAAGAAAAGTCAGGCCAGGGCTAGTATAGTTATCTAAAACTAAATAATAATAATAATTATAATAATAATAATAAATGTTGCTTAAAATAAATGTTAACTGAAGTAAAATAAAATTATATTTACACACACACACACACACACACACATATACACATATATATATAAAGCCATATTTCTCATTTTCATTTAGTTTAAGTTGATGAATAAAATCAATAAACTGAAATAAATATCAATGAAAATTGTATATAGACATAATTAAAAATTTAAAAAAAAACTAATAAAAACAAAAATGACAATTATACACTAAGATAAGCATTTAGATTATTTATTTAGTTATATTTTTTACATCTTGGAGATCTTAGGAATTTGGTTTAATTTAATACTTGAGTGTCCTTCCCACACCATAACTCTTGTCCATTTTTATTACATAATAATTTTCACTCAAATTATTATCATATTCACTATAATATTATAGAAATGCACTATTTATACTTTAGAAATAGTCATAGAAATAAGGCTCAAGTACTCCTTCATCGACACTTAAATGTTTTTCTATTAACTAATATTATATATACACTCTAAAAAATGCTGGGTTGTTTCAACCCAATGTTTGGTCAAATATGGACTAACCCAACTGTTGGGTTAAATTTTGGTTACATTTTTAAATTAACTTTTTAACCCAACAGTTGGGTTAGTCCATATTTGACCCAAAATTGGGTTGAAACAACCCAGCATTT